TTTGCTCTAAGTGAGTTTTTTCATCAATCTCTTTCCAGTGAACTTCTTGGTGGCCTCAATAAGATGCTTCAGAGTATATTAAAACAAAACTGCACTTCAAATAGAAATTTCAAAAATTAATATATATATTTAATTTTTTGTATTTGAGCAGCTAAAGGATTTGGGAAAATGTATGTTCTTGTAGATTTCTATTTAGAATAGTGGCTGCTTCTTAATAATAATAATAATAATAATAATAATAATAATAGAAGAGGATTTTACCCAAAACATATTTTTCTCAATATTTATAAAATCTTTTTTATAAGTATGTGTGGACAATTATATTCTTCTATTCAAAGGAAACATTCTTTTGAGTCACAAAATTAGGAAATACTTGGAAGTTTCTCTAAAGGTGTGTGTTGACAGTTTGCTTTTGATATTTGAAACAAGTGAAGCTTTTCATTCCCACACTGGAGGCAATCAGCACCTAGCATATGGTGCTTGAGATGCTGAACGAAACAGGGCTCAGCTACACAAGCAAGGCAGCTGGTAGATTTGCCGGTCCCTTTCCAAATTACTCATCATGTTTTGAATTGCTGCTGGAAAAAATGTGTTGCCCATCTCCAAAATAGATGTTCTTTTTTATTTTTAAGCTTGGGAAAGACTTCCAACGGAAAATAAGACAGATGGGTATAGGAAGCGAGATATTTGTCCTTATTTAGATCATTTTTTTCTATCAATTACCTAATCATAAGTGCTTGTTAAACAAACACATGAATATTTCAGCACTCACAGTGACCTATGTCCTAGGATGTACTGTTGCTCTTCATATAAAGAGTGCCTCTGGGACAGTAAAAAGTCAAAACCACAGGAAGGGCTGGTGAATTTTTAGTGACCTAAATGGCATTTGTCTAGACTTTGTGGTAATCAGTGAATGAGGGCTTGAATTAAAGGCTCATTTTGAGATGCAGAACACACTGAAGACGAGTAAGTGAAATCTGGAGAATGCTATCCTCCACTGAGCGAGCATGTGATTGTCTGCTTTCAGTAGAATTTTCCACAATGAGGATCCTCTACTACATCAAGATCCTCTACTAGTATTCTTACACCCTCAAAAGCATAGGCCAGAGGGGTTTATTGCAGTTGTAAAGAATTTGCCAATTCTTTAACTCAGATACAGCTCACAGGAGTCATGCATTTGGACAAAAGTCCTGATTTGGAGGTTTCTAATGATTTCTAAATGTACCTTCCACACAGACTATCAATTTTCATCTGCCATATAATAGAGCCATTGGTTCTTGAATCTATTAGTATTCCAGAATCTGCATATATTTCTAATTTTCATTTGAAAGCTTTACAGGTAGGAACAACTCACTGAATTTTCTGTAAATTTTATATTCTCAGAACCTATATCTTTAGCTGGCTTTTCTCCCCTTTCTGCAGCTTTCACCTTTAAAGTTATTGGTAAGAGATTAAAAGTTGAAAAATTTACATAGACACTAACAAGTATTAATATTAATGTAGTTTTCTATTTCTATTATTTCAATATTTAATTACACTTTACTTGATTTTTATCTTTGGACCTTTCAATAAAAGGTGACACATCTAGAATTCCTGAATTAAAATTGATGTACAAAGTTGATGTAAAGAAAAAGAAAGCTAATTTCTTCATTATCAGTTTCTCCTTTGGTGATCCAATAACAGCATATCCATCATTCAGTTTTCAAAATTAATAGTAGTTGTCAAGCTTAATGTATAGTTCTTCATATTTCTGAACAATGTCATACGTCATTTGAGATAGATTTATTAAATGACAGACTTTCCCAGAATAAAGTATAATGTGTCAAGAAGCTATTCTTTAGTTCCAATCCAATGGGAACCTAAGAAATCATTTGAGACAAGAATAAAAAACAGAAATAACTTCTGAAGTGCCTTGTACATGAAGAATGAATCTCAATACTCAATAGGCATAACAGTTTCTAATCAATAAATTTTGTATTTATGAGTTTAAAATATGTTGCAAATGATTAACACATCGTTCTCTTTGGGGGGGGCTTTAGAAATAATATAAATCAAGTGGTCATGGTTCTCATCGAAATAAGGTTACTCTATATGAAGATCTATAAGTTAAATTTGACTTTTCCTGTTAATTTGGAGTTATTATTTTATTCTTTCCCATTCACTTCATAATTTTTGATGCTATATCATAATGTGCAAAGTTACCACAGTTGTATGAATTCTTATAAATACAAAAAATGAGGCTTAAAAGTATAATATACTCCTCAGTTTTCTAGCAACATCAATAGTAAAAAGCATGACCAATTTTGTTTCAAAAAACCCTGCCATTTATGGTCAATTAACTGTAAGCCATAACTGTATTTCAAAAATATTAAAATGTGAAAAAATGTTTCTCAGAAAGTAGGAATATGTTAACCAATGTTGGCATAAAAAATTCACATAAATTATCAATCTTGAGCTAAATTAATTACTACAGCAGCTTTATAAGTCAATATTACTCTCCCCATGTTATGGACAAAGAATCTGAAAATCAATGATATATAATAATAAAAGAGTGATATGCTAATAAAACTGGGAGACCTTCTGGAAACCTTCCAGACATCCTTTTGGTCAAAGCTGGGAGCTTGGCCGGCCTGCAAACTGCTCCCAAACAGCCCTCAGCCCTCACCCATGCTGGCCACACCTCCCAGCAAGGACCCCCACTCCAATGGGGGCGTGGCCAGCCTGAAAACTGCCCTAGCCTCTCACCCATGCTGGCACCACCCCAAGTGGGGACCCCTACCTTGATGGGGGTGTGGCCAGGCTGCAAACCACCCCAAGCCCTTGTCCCAGGTCGGCCCCACCCTCCAAAAAAGGACCCCCACCCTGATCTGGGGCCCACTTCAGGGCAGACCAGCCGGCTCCCACCTGTGCACTAGGCCTCTATACTATACTAATAAAAGGGTAATATGCTAATTAGACCAGGAGACCTTCCTGATGTCCTCTGGACAAAGCCATGATGGCAGGGCTGAGGCAGAGGTGGTTAGAGGTGATTGGGCCAGTGGAGAGGGACAATTGGAGATGAGCAGATTGGCAGGGGGGGGGGTCCAGTTGCAGGTGAGCAGGCCAGTGGGAGGTGGCAGATGGGGGTGTGCAGACCAGCAGGTAGAGTAGTTAGGGGCAATAAGGCAGGCAGGCAGTCCTGGATTGCGAGATGGATGTCCAATTGCCAGTTTAGGCCTGATCCCTGTGGAATTACTGGCAGTCAGACATCCTCTGATGTGTCCCAGATTGTATAGGATGCAGGCTGGGCTGAGGTACCCCTTACATGTAAGAATTTCATGCTCCAGGCCTTCAGTATTAAATAAATGACAAAATACTGCTCAGAAATACTAGAGCAGAAATTCAGATTTGGAAACCAAAGTTTGATTTTATTATGGTTTCTATCCATGTAAGTATCCTGTCTAATAAAGAGGGGATAAGCTAATTGATGGCAATGCCCACAGCCAATAAGGAGAGAATATGCTAATTGACTGTTTCACCCTCAAAGATGGCAGTGCCCATAGCCAATAAGGAGGAAATATGCTAATTGACTGCTACACTCTCAAAAATGGCTGTGCCCACAGCCACAAGATGGTAGCACCCAGTACCCTCAGCCCCACTAGGGCAGCAGGCATGGGAAAAGGCTGGGCCTGCCCCAACGCACACCTGCCTCCTGAGTCCCCCAGTCCCTTCAGACCCCAGTTGCCCATGGTTGGCAAGCTTTGAATGGCAGCTGCCCTGCCACACAGGGCTGCCTGAGACTCAGGTAACCAGGGCCAGTTGAGGCTTGTGCTGCCAGCAGTGGCAGCAGCAGAGGTGTGATGGGGGTGTCATTTTCCCTTGATTGCCAGGTTGCCTCCCGCCCCTGAGGACTCCCAGACTGTGAGAGGGGGCAGACTGGGCTGAGGGACCCCCTCCAGTGCATGAATTTTCATATACCAGGCCTCTAGTATACTATATAATAATAAAGTTTGTTCATGTTTCAACCAATCTGAAAGAAGATTATAAGTATGGACCAATATGTATCAAACAATGACAAGCCACTGTATTAAGAAAGCTTTTAAAGTTAGATGGACCATTTATAAAGATATGTTGAATTGAATAAATTACTGAGGTATACCTTGGTGTAATAAAGAATCAGTGTATTAGATCCACTCATTCATTCAACCATTCATCCATTTATGCATGTATCTATTCATTTACTTATAACACAATTACCAAGGTTTCTTTTACTTAAACACCATTTATTGGTAGGATAAGCTAAACTTTAAAAAAATGCAGATAAGTTATTAAATCAATAAATTTAAAAATAATTTATCTTCCAAATATTTACTAATAATAACCACTTATATCACTGCAAGCAAAAGCTGTTAACTTCAATTTTGCAAAGCCAAATGAAGGATAAAATAAATTGAAACCACAAACTTTTCATGCCAAAAAACATAGCTCATTATTTTTTTCTCTTAGTTTAAATAACTATTTATAATAACTTGAATTAGTCAACTAAATTTATTTAAATAGATATGCAGATAAGAACTATGCAGCAATTAAAATGCTCTTAAAAAGCAAAGACCCCTGGCAGCTTAAAATAGAGGAAGTACACAGAATGATAGAACTTCTTAATTTATTCATACATATCTAATTTTTGAATATCAAACATAACTAATAATTTATTATTTTATACATACCAGAAAAAGGGAGTATTGTATTTTTCTCAAGAAAAGTTTGCAGTTTATAATATCAATCATTCACATGTTCTTTTAGAAGAAAATTGTTACCTATTTGTTGTTAAAATAGCAGAAGTCATTACAAAATAGTTTACCAAAGTGATGAAAAGATCAGAAACTACTTTTACAGAAGATAGTCCCTCAATAAATATTTTAACAGGGGTGAATATATTTAATTCTGTCAATTTCTACTATGTATGAGTTATGAAGAACTGTACAAAGCCATGCTAAATGGATAGAAGGATGGCTACTTACCAACAGGGCGAGCTGTAGACATTACAATGGTGTGGTGAGAACATAAAAAAGAAATTAAAAGAAAAGAAAATTATCAGAATGCATGATGTGTAATGTTACATTTAAGTATGGATAGTAGAATGATTTCTAGACATTATTCAAGTAAGAACAGAATGTCTGATTTTGATAAAACTGAATGTTATAATATAATTCTAAGAAAGTAATTTTTTTGCATGCCATGATTAACTATAAGCAATTAGAGAGATTTTATATAAAGTCATATCTTCACCACAACTATAGTTATAATTTCAATGATATTTTTAGAGTTAAAAATCCTTGTAGTACTATAAAGTTAAGAATCTGATGAATATAACTATTCAAGTCACAGGCTAGCAAATGTCATGTCAATAAAAGAAGGCCTCACTGTCTGATTTAAATAGCAACTGGATTTTAAGCATGGTTAGTCAGAACCATTACAGGACTGCAGAAAAGCCCAGGACACTGCTTTCCAGCCAGTAATAAGTTAAGATCACATCACTTTTCATCCATGGACAGGGCAGATGAAAATATAACAAATAGGTTGGAACATCTTTAGAGATTTCAGCTGAGTAGCTCCCTAACTACTGTTAAGCTTTTTCTTATTTTGGCAAAGGGCAGGAAACAATGACTGATAAGTTGATTCTTGTTCACACTGAAAATGGCTTTCAAACTGGTGCTTCAATAAATTATTTTGATTATACAGTAACTTTCAATTACTAAAATCAGTGATAATAGGTTGCCTCTATTATTAATGCACAGAAATTATAAGAGACACACATGAGCTTAATAACATTTAAAAAATGAATAATGCTAAGTCAACCTAAATAGTAAACCACTTTATATAAAAAGCAATAGGCAAATACAGAAAATATGGTACCATTTTTTAAATGAAGAAGAAATACATATATATATATATATATATATATATATATATATATAGTAGCATTTAAACTTTTACAAAATCATACATTACAATTATACATTTATTAGACAAGCATTTTGCCTATATCCTAGTGAATGAAGCTCTAATGTATATGAAATGTGACTCTAGAACTGATGGCTAGTTTCATCATAATGATGTTTCATGGGGCATGATGAGATATATATGACCTCTCAAACCATGCTTATAGACACTCATTCACTCAACACACACATTATAATACTAATGTTGTGCAATCTCTGAGCTTTTATGTGAGATTCCTATAGTTGCTTTTATGTGAGATCCCTGGTTTTGTAATATTCACAATTAAAAGGGGAGATTAAGACAATTCAAAGAAAAAATAAGTAATTATAGTAGCATGAAAATTCTAGCTTAGTGAAACTCTTGTGTGCTCCATTGTCTATGATGGATTTACTATAGTAACAGGAACAGAAGAATTTGCCCAAGAGGTACAATTTCTTTTTGTTTTTTGTTGTTGTAGGGGACACATGAAAATAATAATCAAGAATAAGACAACAGACTAACATCATAAAGTTGTGGCTTATTCTCACTGACAAGATTTCTATTAATTTTGCCATTGACTGATAGAAAAATAACTGTCTTTCATTTTTAAATTTGCATTTTTCAGGTGCCATCCTAAGTTGAATTTCAAACATAATGTTTCCTTTACATAGAAACAAAACAGCATTTTTATTCTATGCTATTAACAGTGATAAAGAAGAAACCATGGTGAGAAATCGTTTTTGTTTTGTTGTTTTTTAAGAAACAAAGACCACATTTATTTTTCACTTAGTCTAGGCAAGTTTCAAAAAATTTAAGGAATTACTGCCCTACAAGCAAGATGGTTATTCCAGTGAGGTCTTCATTTATGAAAAGCCAATTGAAAAATGGGGAAACATTGTGTTTATCAATATGCAGTTTGAGTTAACACATTTTGTAGCTAATTTTAAAAGTATTGTTAGATCATGAATTATTTTATTAGAATATAAATGCTAGGAGGTTTGTTGTCCACCATCACTTCTTTCAAATTTTCTGTTTGTCAAGTCAGCAAAAGCCACTTCTTGCTGTATAGACTATTTTCACCATATTTTTGAAATGGAAAACCAACAGCTGAGTAAATCACTTTTTCAGATTTTGATTATAAAATTTATTTTCCTTTACCCCATTTGGCTAAAGTGAACATTGTGGTAAAATTTTAACAGAAACATCACAATAAAATCTATTGTCTTTGTTACATAGCAGCATTTAATCCTGGAAAAAACAAACAAAACAAAACAAAACAAAACAACCCCCCAGCAGGTGAATGTTGTCAAAATCAGCAAATAAAGTAAACTGTGTTCCTGCATTAAATTGATGAAAATAGATGTGGCCTATTGCATCAGAGTTGACCCTGTTCTAATAAAACAATCAAAGAAGGGACTGAGCATTTCATTTATGTGCCTAGAAAAATGAGCGCAGAAAAAAAAAATGTCATACATACTATTTTTTTTTCTGTTAACCTCTTAACATGAGTAATCACAATTGCTTTTCCTAATGATAAAAATATTTCAACAATATTTTATTCTACTTTCTATTGTATTATGGAGATTTTTTTCTGTGGCCAGTTAGAGGATTCAGTGTTGAATAAGTAATAAATATTCACCACACAGATTAAACTGTCTATTCCATTCATAAGACTAGGGAAGATAACTTTTAAGGTTTGATGATTTTCTTAAAATCCTATTAAAAATAAACAACTCTTTCTATTAGTTTTGTAAGCTAGCTTTAAATGTCCATGCTTTGTTAAATGAAATGTTAAACCTGAAACTTTCTACAAATTATGAAAGCAATTAGCTGGGAAAGATCTTAAAGCAAACAGAACACTCCAAGTCTCATTCACCCAGGCATTCAAGTATAAAGGAACCCTGCTGCTTCTATAAACAAACAACTCCTCACATTTTCTCACCATTTGTTTAGTCAGCAAATAGTTTTTGAATGGAACATTTCTTTGTTGCTTGTTTATTTTTCCCCCCATTCACTTCAGAAAAAAACAAACAAACTTTGGGGGAATTTGGTTCAGTGAATTGTTTTTGCAAAGAACTGCCTAGAGAAAAACAAACATATGTACAAATATAAAATCACCTACAGAGAATTCAGATTAAATATAGTAAAGAGGCTTTTAAAAGCTCAGGTTTTGACCATATGTAATAAGTATGTATATTCAATTGACATATGAGCATAACTTTTTATGATGTGTTACCTAATGAGACATGAACATATTTGTAAGCAACTTGCTTGCCAATTTTGCCTTATGTGTTTTGTATATCAGTTCACATCAAACTGGGGGGGGGGGGGTGAGTATAGTAGCTAAAATAGCAATGGAGCAATTGGAAATTATTGAAATTACCAATGTTTTCCAGGGATCCAGAGTGCTTATGTCTTCTGATAATTATCTGGAGGAAGGTGAGGGTTTTCTTTATGATTTGATAACCAACTTATAGATCTGACAAAAACAATTTTTCTTACTAGGTGGAGAACAACCAACCCAAATTCTTCTAAACCTCTTTCATAATCTTATGAAAAATTCTGGGAGCAAAGCTGCACAGGAGTAAGAGGTATGACTAAACAGGGTGAGTAGTGGCTGAGACCTGCATGAGAGTGTGCAGCCAGCCTCACCAGGAAGGCTGAGGAGAAGGTGTCAAGGGAGTGCAAGAAAGATTAAGAGAATGAGTTGGGGATGCATTTGCCTGGTTCTGTCTAAAGTTCTCTGAGAGTAGCAATACTACAGACAATGTCTATTTGGCCAGAATAAGTGTGGCTGTCTGCATGGCACTACTTGGCACCTTGGGCTATGTAATTTACTCATATGGATCAGTGTGCAGCACCAGGAAGAGAGTTAATTCATTCTAGCTCACCGGAGGGTTAAGTAATGCTTTTCTTCACTTATAAGCAATTCCAGGGAGTCTATAAACGAACATTATCCCATGACTGAGAAAGTGCATGACACCCAGAAAGTGAAGTTATTACAAGAGAAGCACGGGCTATTTCAATTATTTAAGGCCAGTGAACTTCACAAATCACTCTCTAAATCAGATTTTCTCAACGCGGGGAGCTCCTTTGTATTCATTTTTCACCTTTTGAAGCAGTGTTAGTTTTTTGTGTGTTTTTTCCAGATTGCTTTTTGAATGCTGAAATAAAAAAGCATTTCAAAACAGTACTCTGCAAGTATAAAGTGGCAAATACTAAACTGAAAAACAAAGTACTTTTGAAATTAGCGACATTTAAAAGCAACAAATAGTTCAAAGCACTGGAAATGTGAATATCTATTTTTAAGATTTATTTTAAAATCATTTAAAAGTTAATTACTTTAAATAATCATCCCTTTGAACCCAAATTTGATAGTAATTTTACCTCAATGAATAATACAGTGTACACAAATCTATGCCTTTTAATATAACCATAAAACAGGGTAAGCTATTATTTTGATGGTGGGTTCACTCACCTATGTAACCAAATATTAACCTGCTGGTTCAATCATATTACACATCTTAGGTCTCTTACCTCGAACAGTCAAGGTGGCAGAGGCTTCCACTTTTCCAACCCGATTCTCAGCAATGCACATGTAAGTGCCTTCATCTATACTCAAGGCTTTTTTAATTCTCAGTGTGTAATCATCTTTGATGTCATATCTGCGTAGAATATAAATTGGTTTTATTAAATAGCTTTGGCTATATTTAGATAACAGTTCATTTCTCTATTCTATTTTGCCTGAAACAAAACAAAGCGCACGTGCACACACACACACATACACACACACACACCATTCAGTCATACAGTGTAATGCTTAGATTAAAGGTATTGCAAATACAATCATTAATTTCATATCTGATCTCCAGGTGTTTGATTATTAATTATCTTTTGTATACCTTGTGTACATTTTTATAGACATACATAACTGTTGGCCACATATAATGTGTTTGAAAAACTGGAATACAATATCTTCACAAAGATAAGTGCACGCATATGTTCATTGAAACATCATCCACAGTGACCAAGACATGGAGACAACTAAAGTGTCCTTCCACAGAGGATTAGATAAATAGATGTGGTCCATATATACTATGGAATACTATCCAGCCATAATAAAAGATGAAATACTGCCATTTGGAACAACATGGATGGACCTTGAGAATATTATGCTAAGGAAGTAAGTCAGTCAGGAAAACCTAAGAACCAAATGATTTCACTCATAGTGAAGGTATAAAACTGAAACTCATAGACACAGACAACAGTATGGTGGCTACCAGACAGAAGGGAATGGGGAGATAGTAAAGGGTAAAAAGGGGAAAATATATGGTGATGAAAGATGATTTGACTTGGATGGTGGGCACACTGCAATATACAGATCTTATGTTATAGAAATATGCACTTGAAACCAATATGATCCTTTTAACCAATGGCATCCCAACAAGTTTTTAAAAAAGAAAAAACCCACAAAAATATTAAATGTTTAATTAATAAGAAGAAATAAAATTATTATTAAATGTTAAAATAACAACAAATTATCAATGCATTATCAGTACTTTTTGGTTACTCTTAGATAGCTAGTAGTTCATATTTGAGTTTCTTGGTGAGTTATATCCTATCATTTTATAGCTTACACTGCTTTCAAACTAAGATTGTTGTCTTGAGTTGCAAAGACAAACAAACAAACAAACAAACTGTGACAGTGTTTCTGTGACAAGGACATTTATTTTTCTAACACAGAGCAATGCACCCCTCCCAGCTGCCGTGTGTGTTTACTGTTCTCATTGCATGTGCACCGGGCAGGTGTGCATTTCTCTATTTAGTGTTCAGAGTTTCAAAAACCCCAGAAAAAAAACCTGCATCAATATTTTTCTCAATATGAATCTGAAACCAAGTGTAATCCTTAAAGGTTCATAATGTGTTAACTAACACAGACACATTTTAAAATTATTATGTTATTGAATAATCTAATGTACTTAATCTTTGCCTTGATTTGCTCTTATACTGCTTTTACATAGTTGAGAATGAATTTTAAATAACTGGATTCTATTTCAGTAGAAAACAGCTACTTTTTACACATAGTATAATGTTATATATGTTCAACATGTAGGAGGTATCATCTGACTTTAATTAAAAATAGGGGAAAATTAAATAAATGAAAAAACATTACTAGTGAGGAAACCCTAATAGAAACGGGATGGTTTTGACTGTGAAATCTGCCAGTCTCAGATTTGTATAAATGCAATCATTGTTGCCAGGTTTGATTAATAACAGTTGTACAATCATGTGCTGACAGTCCCCACCATAAAGATACCTTTTTTTCCTGATATGAAACACTGCTGAAAAATGCGACCCAATCAGATTTGGCCACTGGACAACATGTGCCATCATCACTGTACCGTAAATGGAGATTGATTGGTAACCATCTGTGACAAAGTGAGAAAAGAAGCTCCGCTTTTGTGTTGCGCCCCCCCCCCCGCCCCCCCTGCGCCAATGGAAAAAAAAAAGAAAAAGAAAACTGAATTGTGTCAAAAGCATTACCATCTGTTGTTCAGCCAAATAATAAACAAAACAAAATAAGTCAAAATAAATTTATTTTAATACTTAAAACAACACTTTGTATGCAAGTTTCTATTTGTGTGTGATTTTCTTAAAAGTGTTTCAAAAGAACATGTTACTCATTTGTTAAAGAAACAGAGTACTGCATTTTAAAATCACTTCCAAATTGAAACTAAATAATCTATTTTAATTCTTCCTCTTAAAGAAATTTTCTCTTTTGGTAATGTTTGTTATAAATCTAAATTTATTTTGAAAATATCACACAAGATTTGAAAAATGGTCAAATTTTATAACATAACCGCATTTCATACATTTCTCTCACTTTGCAATCCACAATGCTCATTCAACTTCTAGGGTAGAAACTTCTCATGATTTCCTAGCTTTTGTGGATATAATTTGGGGACTTCTCCCTCCAAGTTTTTTACAGTGGCTTTAGATTTTTTTTTTTTTTTTTTTGGGGGGAGACAAAAAATAGACTACAAATTCTGTTAGAAAGTAATATTTTACCATGCTCAGTTCAAGCCTGTATATCTCAATGCCTTATTTGGATTCCATGAGAGCTCCACACTAATAAAACTCCCTGAATGGCCGTTTTTATCTCAAAAGCACCTTTGTTTTTCATGAAAATAAATTTATTTTCTCAACAATTTTAGTTTTTGAAATCATCTACTACTTCTTGCTATAAGATGTCTGACTCCAATTCTCAAACAGGTGTTTTAACTTAGCACTTAAAATGTTATTGCCTATCTGCTCTATTAATCATTAGGTTGGCCAATAGGAAAATAAATAAGAATTTAACCATGAAATATTTAATGTCTATGCAAGTAAATGTGTCTTTTTTTAAAGGAGACTTGAGAAGTTTGTTTTAATTTTCAAAAGATGTGCATTCAATTCAAGCAGCTGAAGATCACCTCTACCTTTTACACTCTTTCAGACAATAAATGTTATAGGCATTACATAGGACCATAATTCAATAAAAAGTTAACTATGAAGCTTTATATGAAAAGGTCACCATGTTTATTGCCTATCTTATAAAGAGTAATTTTAGGATAAAAATCATATATTAATTTTATAAAATCATTCATGGATTACTGAAGACACACCCTTAATCTAATGGAGGCCATGGTGTGGGTTACAGCAGATATGGAGAGGCATCCATTTAGAAGTCAGTGATGACATATTTCTATTAGTCAAAGAAGTCCATGTTTAAAATTCACAACTTTGAATCAAGGTACATTTCTACATAACATAAACGTTCTCGGAGAAATTTAAACCTTTTGACTTTTTTCAGTCTTGACAGCTGAAAATAGGAAAAAGTTGTCTATTTTCCTGAAACAATTTTTCTGCTCAGTTTTTCAATCAAAATCTTTCAACAAAAAATATTTGTTACTAAAACTCATGTAAGTGCTTCTCGGCAACCTAAATATCAGGTGATGTTTTTTAATCTTTAATATTTAAGTTATATCCTAAAGTTAAGCTCTTAAATCAACTGAGGTCTGGGATCTTCAAATACACAAAACCAACCATTAGTGTTTTGCTGGCAAAGGGATCCTGAGTCAAGTTTACTATACATTGTAGCCAACCTGAGTCACATTCTTTTTTAAATTTACGGTTATAATGCAGGTTAGTGTTTACCATTTGGGTAAAGAAATCTCTACCTATTCTTTCAGTTAGGTCACAAGCATTTCTGGGCAGGGCAACTAAGAGCAATATAAAAATACAGATATCCTCTTAAAAATGAAAATTAATGTAATGTTCATTGGAAAAAAGCTAACAAAAATCTTGGGGGAGATTTGTATAGAAATAAAAAGAGGCAAGGTTGTATTTGAAAAGAACTTGCTATTATGTTCTGAAAGCCTCTACTGTAAGCCAAAGTGAATCTTGATGATTCTCTGACTGCTTTAAAAAAGCAAACTACTCTTCATAATTCTCATTGAGTTGTATGTATTTGTCATTCAGATGCTTGCATATTCTTATAACCATTATTCTGAATTCTTTCTTTGACAAATTACTTGCTTCTATTTCATTTAATCCCTTTTTCTGGTGATTCCTCTTTTTCTTTCTTTTAGTTCTCATATCTTCCTTAAATGCTATCCTGCTACCTCCAACCCCTGATAGCCTGATCCATATACGGAAAACTCCTCTACTAGTCCTCTCTTCAGCACAACTGAGGGAGCAGGACACTTTTCAACTAAAGAGCTAAGATAAAACAAATAAGCAAAAAAAGATGTTTTAAAACACCCACAATTGGATAACAATTGTTGACATAATAATGTGCAGATTTCAGATCACTAGGTAGTTAGGTCCAATAACAGCCAGACAGAAAGACACCTACCACCTTGCAACCAGAGCTTATCTTTGGAATTTGAGAAATTAAACCAAATTGTGAAGGTTAAATCAACTTGCATGTGAAGCACTTATAGGTATTAGCTATTTCTTCCATAATTAATCAATTTTAAGATATATATGGTTCATATTTCAAAATCTCTGAAATTAGAAATCATTCTCCATAGATGGCATATCAGAGTTGATTTGCCATTTTTTTTTCTTCTTAACCATGAGAAAACATACTGTAGGATCTCACAAAGAACTGTGAATTGAATTGGATTCAGAGACACGATATTATTATATGTTTAAAAATAATTAGGCTAAACAAATCTTGTATTTCTCTCTTTATTAAATACACCTTTCATCCAGGCACTTAAATAATAAACTTCAATATTACTGTTAACCTCTTTTTTTCATATCAACCTTGATATGCAATCAATTTCCACTTACACAATAAAGCTTTCCTTTGTACTGCCACTTGAATTACTAAGCATGATTGTATATTCACAGAAAATATCCCAATGTCATTCCCTAACTACCTTCTAAGTAACTTTCTAATATGTATATCTGTCTCCAATGAGAATAGAATATCTATCTATTCTCTACTCCAACTTACCCTATATGTAAAAATGAGATTCAATTTTCTAAACATAGAGGCAAGGGTACATTTCTATTCAATGTGCTTCTTGAATTCCCATTTTATAGTGTGTTCAGTGTAAACACTTGGAATTAGAGGCTTTCAAAATAAAGCCTCAGCTACCCTTGCTGCCCTTAA